GATGATCCATTATTCATAGCAGCTATGAGCATCTCATTTGCAACATAAGCACAGAATGAGCAAACGCTAGCAAATCTGCGGGTCCTTACGTTCAAAGCCTCACCGCTGTCCACAGACACATCATAATGTAAAACGTGTTGTCTTGATAACATGGCAAGGGTCAGAGATCAGTTTAGAGACTGTGAGTCAGGAGGAAATAAACTACCCTATTCTAACCTCTGTTGCACTGTGTCAGTTATTCATACAGCTATTCCGATGGCTTGAGAATGTTACCTTTTAAATGAGACAAAGATCATCACTGTAGCCCAGAATGAGTGGGAACAGTACTCATTTTATGTTTCAGTCAAAAACAGTGTGACAGTTAAAAGGTTACACTGCTGTAAGTAATCTCGACTGGGCTTGTTTATGTGGTGTCTGACTCTGTATGACACACTGATTTCTATAAAAAAGGGATAATATTACATCACATAGCCAAAAACAGTAGGTGAAGCCTGGATCTGTACTTCAGTCCGTTGTTTTCCAAGTTCTGGCACCAAACATGTGGCTAACTGACTACATTTTAGGTAGGAATAAAACTTAGTAAACAGGATTTTTCTCTAAACTGTCACTTTAACAGTAGCAGTACAGTGATTAATGTCCCAGTTATTCAAAGCTGTGCTGGAGCTTTTATCGGTAGCTGAGCTGCTGAGGGCTTCTTCTCTAAAATGACGGGTCCATGTTAAGGGCAGAAATGGAGAATACCGTTCGTCTGGTCTGCATTCGTGTCACCAGACTGACCAATAACCACATTTCCCAGTGTGATCTAACCTCTCGACTCTGCCCTCCAGACATTTCCTTGCCACGGCAGTAGGATTGTGAGCCGAAACATTGAGCCTCATAAAACATTCAGAGCTAATTTAACAGGACCCCGTGGGAAGAAAAGCATTTGAATGCATTTTCCTCTTTTCCTGTCATTTTCCTTTGTTTTTTTTTGGACTCTTTCCTGCCCTCCCTCCCCTGGATACACCTTAAAACGCCTCTTCCTACACTTTCTTTAATTATTTCTCAATCGTTGAAAAGCAGAGAAATTCTATTAAGAGTACAGATTCGAAACTTTCATCAGTACCATATTTGTGACACTGTGTGCCATTGTTTATTCCAAAAAATATAAGATCATTTCTTTTTGAAATTCTTTCGAATGATTCGTTCTAAATACACTTGGGTGGCCTTCAATATAACAGTAACACTGGACCTCTGAGGGCTAATGTTGAGAGAGTTCTCTTATTGAGAATTTGTTTGAGAAAAGACATAGACAGACGCTCGGTTCCCACTATTAACCTCATTCCTCAACTCATTGTTGATGACCAAAATACACAGAGGATGTTAAGCCTTCAGTAACATTTTCTCTGAACAGCACTACCATCTACAAACATGCTAATGGAGGAGCAACCCAGCACGTCAAGCCTGCTCATTCTTTCATTTCATCATCAACACTGTCACACCTTTAACATACACACAGCCTGATGGTCAGACGCAGACACTTCAGAACAGTGCTGCCTAACAGTAATTCAGGTCAAAGCTCATATTTGTCCTCTGAGGGGTGAACCGTGTGTGTCAGATGCCAAATGGCGGGTGAGCGTAATCTGTTCCAGTGAAAAGCAGTAATGTTTGGGAAACAGGGTAGTAAAGCTGCCCGCTTTAGCTCAGCAGACCAGTTCGAAATGAAGACAGATAAATAATTCTAAGCAGCTGGAGGGAGTTTCACATCCGAAATGTGAGCATACAATGGTCTGGGGGGGTCTGCTGGAGCAAAGATGACGTCAAAACAATTATGACAGTCTGAAACAGCACTCCAAATGAACAACCCACAACAATACTTACATATTATCAGGAATATCAATATGTACAGCACTGTGCAACAGTCAGAATAAAAAAAAAAAACATCCAAAAAGCCATCAGGTACATGTTATTCATTATTCATCATATATATATATTCCTGCTTTCAGTTTTTTCAGCAGTTTTTCAAGGAAATCTGCAGAGATATTTTTCTACACCTCCAAAGTTCAGTCTTAGGAGTTGGTTGCATTTTCTGCTCTTCTTGGTCCAAGTAATCCAAATAACAAGTTGAGCCTCATCATAAAACCATAAAACCTTCTCGACTTTCAGTGTTCTAGTGCAAATGATCTTCTTTTTGTCTGTTTCCTTTTCTCAAGCGAAAGCTTTTTCAAGTGACAGCTACACATCCTTTCAGACTCATAGTGGAAGGATGGACAAGAACACTTGTGGATCTTTTCAGATCTGGAGCATGAGTGGAGCTTGATTTTGTGTGCTTGAGATTTGGTCTACCAGGTCTTGCACAGTGGTCAGGAGTTCCATTTTCTCTGTATCTGTTAATAAACATTTCAAACTCCTTTTTTCCCCACTTATTTTCCTTTGGCTTTCCTCATGAGAAAGAAATCTGAAGGTAAGTGCAAATTCAAGTTAAAGTGGCAACAGAGTGCACAAAGCAAAGAATGGACAGGTTGAATACCGTTTCCTGACACTGAAAAATGATTACCTTGTACTTAATGGCAGTTGTAATGGAAATTAAATAAATGAAATTGTGGTCTCTGACTTTTGCACAGTACTGGATGTACCTGTGAGTTCACTCATGATCCCTGGCTTGAGTGTAATGTTTATTTTGAAAAATGCTGTGGACAAGGATGAGGAAAAAACAGTATGAAAGTAAGGGCAAAAAATGGAAAAACAGATTCACAGTGACAGCTTGGTTATAAATAGACTTACATGTGTGGCAGTCTACAATCATAATGCAGTCTGCTTCACTCGCCCCACACACAGAGACCAAAATCCTGCATTTTGGTTGTAATGTAGCTATAGGTAGCCTAAAGGCAACATGCTCCAAATATAAAATAAAAACTTATCATCAGATCACGCTGAAGCGTTAAATTAGTCTTAGTGAACTGTTATCAGATAGCACTCGCCCACTACACACACCTCTGGTAGGAAAAATGTGACCTTCAGTTGCTTCTTCAATTACCTCAGCACACACAATATCAGATTGTTATTATTTATTATTAGCCGTCTGGGTATCACGTCACGCTCAATTTAAAGGGGAGAAATTACTGAAAACACTGATCCGCTGAACACTGACATACCACACCAGTGGTATGTCCCCAACATAAATTCTCTCTATGATCCCCTGTGCTTCAGTAGGGTGCAACCTTCAATGATTTTTCCCAATGACCTTTGGAACTTTGCAACCGCAGTGTCTTACCGTAAGTCGGATAACACACCGTTTCCCAAAAATGGGCCCACAAACACATTACACTTTCTTTGTTTTGAGTCTGCAGGGACTGAATGAGTGATAACAGCAGCCGGAGAGCCAAACCAAACCCACAGGCTCTTCATTTGTAAAATGTAAAACTTATTTAAGGTGGTGATATTCCTGACATATTACTGAACAGCTCCTAAATCACCGCCTGACAGCCCACCTCTCCAAAAATGGAGAATTCCCAAGGCTGAAATGCAGTGACTCTGACTGGTTTGGCTTTCAGGCACTAGTGGGCAATACTCCAGCACTGCTTCATGTCATTGCCTGTTGTCTGTTGTCTGTCTCTTTGAAGGAACTCCAGGATACAGATGTCAGAAGCCAGTTGAATCTCATGCCCAGAGACAGTGGAGAGTTGGCAAGTTGTACTAATAAACCTTCTGACTCTGTACACATTTATCAGAGTGATTACTTTTCACTGTGGTTCCCACTAGCATGCCTCAACCCTTAGAAGTCTAGTGTTATTGTTCATTTTGCTATTCAATTATAATATACATTACACTTACAATTTAAATGTATATATATAATTACATTATTAGTTACACAGTTGCATAATGAAGTATATCTCTGCTGGCAGAACAAAATCTCAGGAAAAGGAAACTTTTTAATGAAAAATATTATTTTATGTGCGTACTATTACTCAAAGCCGTGTTTGCTAGTCATGTACGACTGAAAGTCACTACTGAAACATTTGGTGAAGTTTTGGTTGTGTTATGATTGTTTTGGTTGTGACAAAATGCAATGTTCAATTATTTGTTTATTGTAAAATTAAAAAAATAATAATAATAATTAAAAAACATAATTAAGGCACAGGGTCTTTCAAAGCAAGTGAATTTTAGTCCAAGTTAAAAGTCTGAAATGTGTTTTGAACGCTGACTTTGAAACAATTTGGTGCAATGATCTATATTCTTGCAAGGCTACATATTATTTGCTATTGTTCAAAACTGAAAAACGTCAAAATTGGAAATGCGAGGTTTTGTTCCGACAACAGCTCTATATACATTCTGTATTGACAGATTCTGTATTAAGAGATGTTTTGAGCACTTGCGACTGCACTGTGAGTTGCAATGGTTAAAGACTGAGGGATCACAGATTGGCTGCTCCCACAGGTGCAGTAACTCATGATGCGAAATCCATTAATTAGTTTGTTGCTTTATATGTGAATGGGATCAGAAATGCACTTCATCAGTCATCACAGACCCCTACCTTGCTCTGCCTTGTTGTCAGACGGGTCTTTTTCCCACAGTCTTCCTATAGTTACTGGTAAATGCTGGGCATGAACAGTAGTGTTCCAAAGTTGGAATCAAATATTATTTTTTTTTTTATATTGTTTTTTGAGAACAAGAAGTTATTGTATGTTTATAATATAGTACAATTCTCCATTTGTTATATTTAATTGTCAATTTATTTGCCTCACCATTATACAAACACGAAGCATTCTCCGTATTAATTCAATTAAAACTGTACAACTTATTTCTCAACTATTATAGATTCATCTCCATCTCTGTTCCGAGTCCATTTACCATTTCTCTATCTTTTTGCAACTTCCGACAGATTATTTGTTGACCATCATTTTAAAATCATTTTCTATATGTATCTGCCTTTAAATTACTGAAGACTGTGATTACAAACTGTTTAAGCAGTAGTGGAGCTGTGGTCAACACTAGCTGTGTGTGTGCGTGCGTTTTCTCACCAGTGATGGTTTAATTCCAACACTTTCAGCGGCTTGGAAGGCCAGGGTCAGATTGCGGCCCTATGGAACAACAAACAGAAGGATTAGAGGTCATTTACCACACAGAGAGACTGACCAAGCAACAAATACACAAACCGCTAACGATAAACACCTACATATACTGCTGTCAATACATACCAACCCACACATGCATATCCACACACCAAAAATAAACATCTGCAGAGCTTATTCTTACTAGGAAGGTCTGGCACAGATGGCCACCTACAGCCAGTGAAGCCACACACATGCGTAGAGCAGCCATTCAGCTTTACTTCATTCCACTGTATTAGAAGCGTGTAGCAGAAATACAGGTCATACACTTGGCTTGTAGTAGCAAGACTAAATGCAGCATGATCTTGAAGAACAATCATTCCAGGGGCTTCATAAGTTCAACTATTTTTGTCACTTTTTACTTTTTTGCATAATTTGAAAACTTCAGTTGCCCTTTGTGTTGTGTTGAAATTTCATGATCAGACCAATAGAATAAAAATCTAAAATTATATTTAAAAATACATACAAAATCATCATTTGCAGGATACCTTCTGTTGAGTCACATCAAAAAGAGTTAGATAAAGCAGTTAGATCCCACTGTTTTGAAATAAATGTGTCCCACAATCTGAAAATCAGTGTGTAACTTTAAGGATTGTCACCAACGAACCATATTTTCTACAATTAAGTAAACTTTTTAATGAAAAATATTATTATTTTATGTGCGTACTACTGCTCAAAGCTGTGTTTGCTAGTCATGTACTACCGAAACAGTCACTACTGAAACATTTGGTGAAGTTTTGGTTGTGTTATGATTGCTTTGGTGGTGACAAAATGGAATGTTCAATTATTTGTTTATTGTAAAATGGTAAAAAAATAAAAATAAAATAAACCATAATTAAGGCACAGGGTCTTTCAAAGCAAATTAATTTAAGTCTAAAATTCAAGTCAGTTAAAAGTCCGAAATGTGTTTTGAACTCTGACTTTGAAACAATTCACTGCAATGATCTATATACTTAATGAGGTCTTTTGCAAGGCTACATTTTAATTGCTATTGTTCAGTGTCCATTTTTATTGTTTGGCCTTAATTAAAAACTTTGATTACTCAATTAATCAAGTAATAGGCAGATTACACAATTACTAATAAAATTGATAGTGGCAGCAGTAATTACTGGATTTGAAATACAGATGAATATGACGTTTATTGAAAATCCTCCCAGTGTTTACCAAGTTTGGTGGCTCCAGCCACACATGGTTTAATTATCTTGTTCCATCTGCCCTGCCTCTCATCTGGGCCTGATGTTCTTTCTGCACTTTCCTTGCCAAGCTTCTTTGAAATACCTAAAAATGTATACATTCAAGATGCCACACATCTGAACACAAGGGCAGCAACATGCAAGCGTAACAGCGCTGTGAAACAGTGTTTGCCCCCTTCCCAATTTCTTTTATTTTTTGCATATTTGTCACATCTGAGTGTTTCAGGTCATCAAGCCACTTTTACTATTAGACAAAGATAACCCAACTAAACACAAAATGCTGTTTTTAAATGATGATTTCATTTATGGAAGGAAAAATGCTGTTCAGCCCTACCTGGCCATATGTTAAAAAGTGCTTGCCCCTTTAGCTACTAAATCACCAGTTAACCAAATTCAATTGACTTTTGGGTTCAATTTCACTGGCCACACCCAGGCAGATTTACTGCCAGACCTGTTGAATCCAAACATCACTTAAATAGAGCCTGTCTGGCAATGTGTAGCAGGTCTCAAAAACCAGCACATGATGCCACATTCTAAAGAGATTCAAATACAAATGCAAAACAAAGTCATTGAAATCTAACAGTCTGGAAAAGGTTAGAAAGCCAGTGTTAAAGCTCTGGGACTCCAGCAAATCACAGTGAGAGCCATTATCCACAAATGAAGAAAACTTGGAACAGTGGTGAACCTTCACCACCTACCAAAATTTCACCAAGAGCGCATCAACAACTCATCCAGGAGGCCACAAAAGAACCCAGACAAACATCTAAAGAACTGCAGGCCTCACTTGCCTCAGTTAAGGTCAATGTACACAATTCCACAATAAGAAAGACACTGGGCAAAAATGGCATCCTGGGAGAGTTTCAAGGCGCAAACCACTGCTGACCAAAAAGAACACAAAGGCTCGTCTCGCATTTGCCAAAAAAAACATCCCCTAAGACTTTTGGGATGATATCCTGTGGACAAATGAGTCAAAGGTGGAGCTTTTTGGAAGACATGGGTCCCGTTACATCAGGCATAAAGCTACTGCATTCCACCGTGAGAACATCACACCAATAGTCAAACATGGTGCTGGTAGTGTGATGGTCTGGGGCTGCTTTGCTTCTGCAGGACCTGGATGACTTGTCATAATTGATCGAACCATGAATTCTGGTATCAGAAAATGTTCGCTCGTCAGTTTGTGACCTAAAGCTCAAGCGCAGTTGGGTTATGCAGCAGGACAATGATCTGAAGCACACAAGCAAGTCAACCTCTGAATGACTCAAAAAAAAATAAAATAATTAAGGTTTTTGAGTGGCCGAGTTACAGTCCTGACTTGAATCCCATTGAGATGCTGTGGCAAGACCTTTAACTGGTAGTCCATGCTCAAAAAGCCTCCAATGTAGCCTATTTAAAACAATTCTGTAAAGAAGAGTGGGCCAAATTTCTCCTCAGCGATATGAAACACTCATCACAAGTTACTGCAAATGTTTGATTGCAGTTGTTACTGCCAAGCGTGGCACAACCAGTTCTTAGATTTAGGGGGCAGTTACTTTTTCACAAAGGTAATATAGGTTTTGAATAAATCTTTATCTTCAATAAATGGAATGATGATTCAAAAGCTGCATTTTGTGTTTACTTGTGTTTCTTTATCTGAATTAAAATTAGTTGAATGATCTGAAACATTTAAATGTGAGAAATTAGCAAAAATAGAAGAAATCAGGTGAGGGTCAAATACATTTTCACAGCATTGTACATACTTGTACAATATCTAGACAAATAAGGTCTCAATAACTGTAAAAGAAATGACTATACAAAGATCTTTATCGTTAACTGTGCAAAAGTTATGGAATTTAAAATTTCATTTCATTTTTTTCCGATATATTAAAATTAGCAAATAAATGGAAATTGTGCACTTAAATGTGCAGAAACATCACACTGTTTCTGTGATGTCATGAAAACCAACACATTTACACATATCCACCTATTCAGCCAACAGCCATTTAGCCCTGCCCACTCATGCTGAAGTTACGAGGAGCGTTTCAGCCTGGACTGCTTTTTGAATTATGCACTATATAAAGCAGCCAATCAGAACACAGCTCATTTACATTTATCTGTATTTAAGGTAGAATAACACATACAGCCTGTTTAGTTCTAAGGGATAAACAGAGGTTGGAAAATGGTTATGTAAAAATGAATGATGACTATTTTTGGTACATAAGACAAACTAACATTATAAGTGGACCTCAGAGGACAGAAAGAAAAGAAGAGAAAAATGTAGGATATGAGTCTTTTCAGCAAACATGTCAGAAACTGACACAATGAGAACATTACAGCTGTGTAAAATGGCAGCCTGCTGCTTATTGGCACGGCAAGGAGCTTAACTGCCCTCCAAGCCCCTAGAAGACTGCAGAATGTTCTAAGGCTTCCATTAAGGCTTCTCAGAACTCTTCACAATTATAGAGCTCAGGCAGAATGGATAATTCTGAATAATTTAACTGGACATGTGCTTATGCCTATTGTGCTAATCAGCGCTGTATTCGCAATGTGTCATGCATCCTCACACACAGAGCTTACTGTGTGTGTGTGAGTGTGTATGTTTGTATGTGCGTGTGGTTGAAAAAAACAAGAGTGGCTGGACAGGTCTTTGTTTACAGTGTATTGTCTCTTCATCCCTCCGTTTGCCATCTGCGTCTATATTCTTTCAGCGCTAACTCAGCCTGCTAGTCATTCATTACAAGGATAAAGCTTTGAGGGTTTACAGGCCTTGTTTAATAACGAGCAGCATCAGGTATCAGGGATTGGGTGAACAATAGAAATTACCCAGAGAAGGCTTATATTAATAACGTTAACAAGAGCTAGCGTGGCTGACATTAACCCTCTGAAATAGAGATGTGTGTAAATAAATAATATGTTTCGAAGCAAGGAATCTTCACATCAAATTCATAATCCTATTCAGTGTTGTCTTTTTATTTAATAAAAGCTTGCCCAGTGCAAACTGAAACATTGTAAACTATACACTAATAGATATTTCTAGAGGTTTTAGTAAGTATTTTAAGTTTTTTGGACAGAAGAAATTATTCAATGACAATACAATGTAGTTATTCATATGAATTTCTTTTTCACTTATCTGCCTCAAGATTTGATCACCACTTTTCAGATATGGGGCACTGTGGATATTAATTTCCTTACAGCTTATAACTATCATGATACGACTTCTTTTTATTTTCTAATATACAACAATACAGAAACCTTGAACATCAGCTGATACTGACACAGTTTCTTTTCATTAACAAGGACTGAGCTTTAAAATGACCTATTTGTCACTCAGATCTAGTGCCATACAATCTTAAAAAGGTGCCATAAAGGGTTCTTTGAGCAATGCCACAGAAGAACCATGTCTGAAAAAAAGGTTTGTGAGTGTGAAGAGCATTTTAAAGGTTTAAAATAATAAAAGTGTTTCCTAGAACCTTTACATTGTGTGGATGTTCTTTATACCTTCAGAAGGTTCTTCACACTCACATCTTCACAAAAACGGCTTTCTAAAGAAGAAGATTCTTTAGGGAACCAATAGTGGTTCTTCTATGGCATCACACAAAGTAACCTTTCTGGCAACTTTACTTTTAAAAGTGTACAGGAAGAAATACATAGTCATCAATGTGACTTATAAGAGTTTTTTTTCTTGTACACTTTTAAAAAAAATTATAATAATAGAAACATGGACAGAAATAACAGCAGAAATGTGTGCAAAATGTAAACTACTTTAAATGAAGGTATTGGTAACCTCTTGCTCCCATGTGAACGTTAGGCTATGTGTTGCTACACGTGATCTATTTTATTGATTTCAAATTTTTTCATGGTAGTGTGTTTGTGTGTGTGTGTGTGTTTGAGTGCATGTAGACCAGGTTTGTGCCACACTCTGTGGGGACCAAAACCTGTTCATACACTCACATTGTGGGGACCTTTTTTCCTTGAGGTGAGGTAAATTATTATATAATATTTTATAGTGAGGGTAAGGTTAAGGCTAGGTTTAGGGTCAGTGTTATGCTAGCAGTAGTTCTGGTTAAGGTATGGGTAAGTCTCCATGTATTGAATGGAAGTCTTTGTAATGATCTCACAATTCACAGAAACAAGACTGTGTGTGTGTGTGTGGTACCTTGTCCTGGCTGATGAGCTCCTGGTACGGGATGTGTGCAGGCAGGTAGGTGTGTAGCAGGGCGCAGAAGGCCAGGCCGTCACTCCAACTGCTGCTAAAGTTGGTCACGTCGATATTCTACGGGATAAACAGGAGAGCGTTTGACTTTCTGCTCACTTTCAGTTTTTTGTGTGTGTGAGTGTGGAGACACACTCAGAATAAAACAGAATAAACATTCAGAACTAGGCAAAGGTCCATTTCTGTCATAACTGCACTCAGACGTCTACCTGACACTATAACACAACGCAGTCCGGCAGAAAACACATACTTATCAGAAAATTTCACAGAAGCCTCAACAACTAAATATGATCTCAATTTTTTCAGTATTTAGTGTGTCACTCCTTGTCTTTATAAGAACTTTCATTCTTTTCAGTAGACTTGATTTCAGTTTCTAATAGAAATCTGCAGGAATATTTTACCACGCCTCCAATGTTCAGTCTAAGAAGTTGATTGCATTTTCTGCTTCTCATAATCCAAGTAATCCACACACAATAATGTTGAGGTCTGGACTGGTCAGTCCATCGTTCTGAGAACACCAGCAGCTTCTTTTGAGCTTGTTTGATTTGCAAATTGTTTTTTTTTAATCTTTTTCCTTTTCTCAGTAAAGGCTTCTTGACAGCAGCACATGCTTTCAGACTTATAGTGCTGAGTTGTGTCCTCACAGTGGAAGGATAGACAGAAACTCCTGTGGATTTTTTCAGATCTGAAGCAAAAGTGGACTTCCCCCCTTCATTATGCAACTTTATTTTCCTCAGAAACATCTCCTGAAAAATGACTTACAAATATTGGCTGTTTTGACTGAAAAATAAATATGTGAAGGATGGTCTGTGATCTTTAGCCCAAAAAAGTGAGAAGGAGAATGAATTGAAAAAAGAGAATTTTTTAAGCTGAGCTTTAAAAAGAGAAGAGTTTAGGGGCTAACAGATCTACCCCAAGCAGTGACTAATCTGAATTAGATCAGAAGGAGTGGGCTATATGACTACATGCTATTATTATAGCGATCAATTACGCTACATTATGCTTTTCTGATTATATCATGGGCATCATCATTCTTGAACACTGAACAATTGCATACATCATAAACTGTAAACAAGAACAAGCACACAGTAACTGCATAAAATACATCCAGTCCTAGACAATGTTACACAATATTATCCAAATACATCATGACATGTCACGACTGTATAACATCATATTTATGTCTGCATTAACCTCTTGGCAACAGAGACACCCCTATTTTCAAGATACAATGCTTATTATGTATCAATCAAATATCTCGCAAAAAATATAGTACACCTAAAAAACAATATCACAGTGTCTCAATATTGTTATAAACCGGTGTAAACAACACATATTGACCAGCATTATCTAAGCGTACAACAAAATACAGCTTTCCACATGGCTTATCTGGCCCAGGAAGTAAAGACAGCTGACCACTGATTGATTCTAAGATACATATCTAACAGACGTTGTGTGCAACGATGCAAAAAACCCAAGGGTGTGTTACCAAATAAACTCAGACATTGCATAGTGGATGACTAATCGGACTATCCAAGCGGTTTATGTTTCACAACATACAGTCATAAACCAACCCGTCAGTTCATGGAGCTAATCAGAATGGCCAGCATATTATTGTTTTACAAAATCTCATGAAAATAGAGACAAATGCAGGCAGAATTCAGGCTTTAAGATAGCTGTTTTTCTGTTTTTATCTATGCTATATACTTCTTGTCCATTTTTATAGATAACAGCATCACGTGCATGCAACAAATCACAATCACTTTAAGTGATAGTAATTTAACAGAATAATTCTCTGAGTTGCTGTATTTTTGCTCTGTATTGCTTAATACAGAGTACTGAAGCTGATTGGTCTCTATACAATGCATAATCTGATGCACTGAATTTACAATCATGTGAAAGTTTAAATATCCAAATTACATATTTTGTTGATTTTCTAAATGAAAATAAGCTTACACACTGTAGAAAATGTTTGTGTTTCTACTTAAAAAAGTAAGCAACCTGGTTGTCTTAACAGAGCATATAACAAATTATTGTTCTGTAAATATTTCTCCCAATATATTAAATTCAGCAAATAAACAGCAATTGTGCATTAAATGTTCAGAAGTGTGTTCACTGTAGAGGATGTGTTCACATATTTTCACTTAGAAAATCAACAAAACATGTCATTTGTACAGGGTCCTACACTTGTGCATATGACTGTATGTGATCCAGATGTGTATACGTACATATGTGTATGTGTACACTTCCACATGAAAGAAATGTATTGCAACAGCACAATTAGTGTCAAAAGTAAGTGAGCTGAAAGAAAAAAATGTGCTGATGTGATATTTTATTCATGCAGAAATGAACATCAGTCAATTCTGTCCATCACTTTTTAAAGCTACACTATGTAAGTTTTGGGGATTTGGAGACCTCTCTGGTGGAAATGTGTAATTGCACACAGCGTGTGGAAGAACATTCTGTAATGTTGGTTCTTCTTCGGACCCCTTCACTGAGATGTGTCTTCTGAGGATGTAAGTGAATGTTCTACTGTATCTTCATCAGTATAAAGTTGATTTTGCATTTGCGACCTAAACATTGAGCCAGATCTTCTTTTTGAGCTTGTGCGTGTGACGTTTAACTACATCTTTCAATTTTAACCCCCTTAAATGGCCAGGGCCCACCAGTGGGCAGAAGGTTTTATTATACACGTCTATAACCTAACAATATCTCAGCGAGTTTTCACTGTAGTCCCTGTAGTTACTGCATAATGAGCCTTAGTAAGTAATAAGCCTAGAATTTTAAGGGGTTTCACAAAAACACTTACACAATGCAGCTTATAAGAGTGTGTAAGAGTGAGACAGCCACAGCATGAGCACAGAGAAGGAAGGGTTACTGTTTTAATTAAAATGTTATGTAATTTGACAGAATTACTGGGTAGTTCTAGACAATTCATTATTGTGAGACACCAGAAATGAGTCAGATTTTTGGATTTCCAAACTGACTCTCCACACCCTTGCCAAAATTCAAATGGGTAACATTAAAATAGCTTGCAGATCACAATGCAAAACAATTTGGCCTATAATTTGTGTGTTGCTGTGATGAATGACTTCATTATTGCTGGTGAATCACAGGCAGTGAATGGTTCTTTAGGATCATTAGGATTCCACTCTGAGCGTCATGTATCACTACGAGCTCCCTCAGAGCCCTTTCACCTGGAGAGCCATTACAAGCTGAGTGGCGAGGGTGAGCAGTGGGACATGCTCCACAGCACGTTCTCTCTCTCTCACACACACACACACACACAGGGGGAAGAGGGGCGGAGGGGGAAGATGGAGCAGAATAGAAGCGTGGGCGGCGCTCCCTGTTATGATGTCATCCACTGAGAAAGGCACAAAATAAGTGTCATACGTGCATTACATTTACCTGCTTCAAGTGAAGTGCATCATGAATACATGAATATGAATACCACATGAATAAAACACATTTTGAAATTTAGCATAATTATTGCCAAAAGTATGTGCAAAAAAATGGACCAAAAGGACTGTTTCACTCATTGCCTACAAATATATCGCTGTTGTCGGAAGAAAACTATCACCATTTTTGCCGTTTTTCAGTTTTTGACGTAATCTGAAAATGCTTGTTGCTCTTTACATTGAGTTTTCATTTCATGAAGAATGGACCAAAACAAACGACCCAGAATTACCTGGAAAGATGTCTGGTTCCATTGACTTACATTAAAAGTAAAGTAGGTTTTTTCCTTCTCCTATAAAGTTACCATTTTGGAGATATGAGGATTTCTTCCCACAGCAGCGATATCAATACTAATTGCAACTGCATTTTATATTGAGGTAACAAAGTCTATACAGTACTATTCAAAAGCCAAGGACCACCCTTCATTTATCAGAATAACCATTTAGTTATACATTTTTCAGGAGATATTTCTAAGGAGATTTGATATAAGAAAATAAGCAAAAAAAGGAGTTTCCAAAATGAATTTTAAAACATTATTAAAAGTTAAAAAGGAAATGAGCCTTTCACCCAAGCAGCACTGGGATAGGCTCCAGCACCCCCGTGACCCAGGAGGGTATAACGAGGAAATGGGACCCCTAACAACCGTGCAAACTGGTAGACCACCAAAACTGTCACTAGATAAACAGTACTTAAAGATTTCATCTTTGAGAGAGAGGAGAAAATCAAGCTCCACTCTTACGTCAGATCTGAAAAAATCCACAGGTGTTTCTGTCCATCCTTCCACTGTTAGAAGACAACAACACTATGAGTCTGAAAGGATGTGCAGCTGTCAAGAAGCCTTTACTGAGAATAGGAAATAGACCAGGGCCACTCAATCCTGGTCCTGGAGAGCTCAGATCCAATACACCACACTCTTAAATTCAGATATCTCTTCACTATCTGGATCAGATGTGTTAGATTTGGTGTTAGATTTCAGGGACCAGGATTCAGCGCCCCTGCAATAGATGAAAAGGATGAACATTTGCACATCAAAGAGGCTGCTGGTGTTCTCAAAACAATGACCACCACAGTCCAGACCTCAACATTACTGAATATGAGATCACTTGCATTGTGAGAAGCAGAAAACCTTGGAGATGTAAAAATTGTGCAAAATTGAAAGCAGCGTTCCTAAAAAGAATGGAAGCCACAATAATGGCAAAATGTGGACAGACTAAACACTGAAAAACGTGACATTATACTTAGTTGTTTAATTGTTTATGTAATTTTACATTGAATGTGTTTTCTGCTTTTTTCCTGATGCTGAAAAATGAAATCTTGAACTTATGGCCATTTGTACAGAATTTTGTTGATTTAATATATTATCAATGATTTGATATTCATGTCCAAATTATGCACACATTTGAATGAAACAAATACAGTGTATGTGTACGTTTAAGGCAAGTTAGTGACTGTATGACAGGAGAGGAAACAGAAGGAAAGATTAGCGTCAGCAGATAGAGAACGCTGGGATGGACTGCACATACGCAGTACGTCACACACACTCCTAACTCATTGTCCTCTGCTAGACTTCCTGTCCCTTCCTGTATCTCCCTGCGCAGTTGTTG